TCTAGGTTTAATCTCTCTTTGTGTTTTTATAATTCTTAACACACAACACAAGTAGAATGTCTGTCTGGGAATCGAACCCAATAACCCCTACAATTAAAATAATTGAAATCTAGATACACGATACACGCGATTAAATATAGTGTTAATCGTTATTTTGTGTTATGTCGTTCTTTAAATATACAGGATGTCTATGTGGGAGTCGAACCCAATAACCTCTGCAAATTTATTTAAATTAAAGCGATAGCATGTACACAATATGCGCGTTAATCTTAGTTATATTGTTGACATTACATATGAAATTTTCCTGTTCGGGAGTCGAACCCAATAATATTCAGAACTAAATATAAATGAAATCACGGTCACTTAGTAGAGTGAACCAAACAGTGCACAATGAAACAAATACGGTACAGAAATCACACATTACAAATCACATTTTATTACGAGTATACTCTAAATTATACTTAGCTATGAGCTTATTCTCAAGCATCTAAACTAATTACATCTAACATAGAATTACCCTTATTTATCCTAGAACTTAAGAAATTAAGTATCAGAAAACTAGCTATCTTTTTCAAATACAAACTATCCTAACACAGCAGATTTCTGCGTAGTGCAGCACAAGTAAATTTAACACAGTATACCCGTGTTAAAAATTTAAATTATATATCACCGTGTATTAATATTTAATACTAGTACCTTGTCATAATACAGTATCATATATTATAGTATCATTTATTGTATTATCATCTCTGTCATATATTGTAATATATATCTACGCATAAGTATTTTATACTAAAATAAACAATTAAAATGCAATATAAACTAAGTTGTGGCCAATGATATAATTTGTTTACGTTGTGTTGTGTATGTAGTAACCAAATTCAGTTCATCCTCGTTGCACTGACGTAATAATTACGGTTCAGTACATTTAATGACGAGGATCCTGGTCACGGCACCATATGTGATGGTACCTCAAATACCCTAGCCTGAGTAAGGCAGTTTTTCAACTATTAAACACGTAGCCAGCTCCCCTCCCTGTGGGGGGAGGTCTAACGCTCCTCCAACCGCGCCAGGCTGTAAGACTCGACCCTGACTGGACATCTTCCCACTGGCTTTTTAACGTTCGAATAAACAACAAAAGACCGCGATAAGAGGGAATCAAAGTCTAAATGAAATAATTAAATACATTGGTATTGGTTGTGTTTATCCTATCAGGCTTTCATCCATTGTGCACTTAAGCTTAAAGTGAGTCAATCAACTTCTACAACTGAATGCTCAAGGCCGCAAGGTCAGACACGTGAATACTGCTCGTCTGATGTGGCATTAACCCTTATGCTACCGGACACAACGCGTGCGCCGACGGCGGACTCGGACCGCTCGATCTCCATCAATTCATCAACAGCATCAGCGCTTTCCCGCAAACCGACCACCCAGGACAAGCCCATTAAGACACTCTCCACTCAAGTACACGGCACTCACTGAACCTTCACTAACCTCCTCCTAAATACACCACAATGACAGGTCACCGAAGGATAACCGTGTAGCAAGGACCGCGGCCTGGTTGATCTGATCAACCAAGGTGGTCATATCGCCTCAGTTATAACTCGATTCACCACACTGTAGAGCACTATAAAGGGGTCACTAATCATTCTATCACATTCAAGATATCTTAACCAATACCAAATGCGTAAGTAAAATTTAGCAGGGAAACTGCATGGAAACTACATCTAAATTATTAATTAATACTACGTTACTCAGACCGGCATATAATTATGTATAATATAATAACTATCCTAAACATCAAACAATTATCCTAAACAAACCTAAATTATCATAACCAATAAAGACTCACCTAGCTGTCCTCAACGTTCTATATATTTAACTTACTCAAACTAACTGCAATACGCGCGTCCGAGCACGTTCAGCTTTTGACGAACAACCTCTGCTTCCTAGCTCCTAAGACCGACCGACTTGTCTTACGACTCAAGACCAACTGCCCCTGTTCCTTATCCTAATTATCGTTCCCAAAAGGACTTCTAACTAAGGGCTTTTCTCACGCTTCTTCGTGTGCTGTCTTGCACATGTGCCCGTCTTTAATCGCTATCGTGGACCCTTGGCTATTCCCTTTTTTTTATGGTATTCGTCTTAAGAACGCAATAAGTCTTTTGTTTATAATGGGCCATCATCCACTTCGCAATACTTGAGATCATAAATTTCACTTATTTATTAGGGTCTGCTTTTTGTTCGTCTAGACCTTAAATGCACGTGTAGATAACTTTCTAACATTACTTGTTTAAAATAACATTTATGTGAAGGTTTATAATTACGTGATTGTAGTACTATCACAGGCGCATTAGCAACTCTGGATAGGATCCAATCTAGGTGTCTTAGAATTATTACTGGTTGCATGAAGTCATCCCCCATTAACGCATTACAGGCTGAATGCTCAGATCCACCTCTAAAATTAAGAAGACAATATTTTGCTTCATGCTTTGTTTTGAAATTTATTTGTAAATTGACCCACCCTCTTCTTCCAAAAATTACTGACTTAGACATAACTTGCAATACCTCTAAGTACTGGGCACATAAAGAAATTCCATTGATTCTGCAATCCTTTCGCTACTACTTTCCCTTTACGAATTTAACTGTAAAATTTGACAAACTTCCTCTTTTTTCATTTGAATACAGTATACTTAGTTTTAAGCCGAATGTGTTCTTGGATGTGGGAATTCCTAAGGGATCTGCCTCGGCTGTTTCCACCTTTAACGCTTATGTGGATGACCACTTGGTAGGGTTTGAGAGGTTTTTTACAGACGCATCCAAACTGTCAAGCGATAGTTACACTGGAGCTGCGGTGTACTACCAAAACTCCAGAATCATTTTGCAGTTTAAGTGCCCAGAAGAGTCTTCTGTATTTACGGGCGAGTGTGTCGCGGTATTGGAGGCATGCCTATATGTTGAATCGCACAACATCTATAAGGCTGCTATATTTACTGATTCTCTTAGCTGTCTTAAAGCCCTGCTAAAAGATCCATTCCATAGCAAACTCCATAGCCCCTTGATCTTAGAAATCAAAAAAAGCCTCTTCAATTGCTGACAAATTGGTCCAGTTGATCTGGGTTCCCAGCCATAGTGGCATTATGGGCAATGAGTGTGCAGACTCGTTAGCCAGAAGTGCTGCTACTTCCTCAATGGCAGACCAGAAACATATGGTTCACCATCACTATGACCTCCTAAGACTGCCTCAAAGAGAGTTGAGGACATCCTGGCAGGCGGAATGGAACAGGTCCGCACAATTTAAAGGCCGGTACTATTTTTCAGTACAGCCACGCATTCCTCCGAAGCCTTGGTTTTTTAAGTTTAAAAAGGTGTCCAAACAAGTTGTCTCCACCATATGTAGGCTTCGTATTGGACACTGCAGCTCACCTGTCTTCTTGAATAAAATTCGGGTACGGGACTCGTCTCTATGCGAGTGTGGCCTGGACGAAGGCAACCTGGACCACATCTTCTTTAATTGTAGTAAAAATAATCCATCCTTAGACCTTTATTCATACCTAACTAAATTAAAAATCCCCCTCCCTATTAACTTTGCATCCCTACTTACCTTTTCCTCCCCAAAACTTTTACAAGCCTTGATGTTTTTCATCCGTTGCAATGGCATCAAACTTTGACCTGTGTACCTAATGTAATGTTGTGATGTTTATTTGTGTTTGTCTACTAATTATCTCTTTATATATTACATACATACTTTATTTATTCGTATTTGTCTGTTTGTTTCAGTGTACTAACCACAATCAAAAGACCCATATGCAGTCCACCTGCTAATTTTGGAAAACTTAATGTTTGCAAATTCCTTTTCTCTTATGTATTTCTCTTAACCCACGTATTTCCATCGCACTTGACATTGGCAGAATTGTCGACATCGGCACAGTTTGCCATATAATAAGAAGAAGAAGAACAGCAGCAGCTATTGTACTATAATATTGAATTATTATCTTTTTCTATTTTATTTATATGGTGGACATATAGTTATTATTATCATAGAATTATGTAATACAATACAGTTATGAATTTAAAGAGTCGAAAGACATAGCTAAATCGACAAAATAAAGAAAACATGATGCAGCTATGTTATAAAAGCGTCACCACATAAAAACTAATGCAGTGCGTACTTAAGATCAAATGCTAATCTTTTTCTCCGGATTTCCGAAACAAAAATTGTTTTAGACATAGATTTTAAAAACAAACCGTTTTTTTATATATTTTTCACAACAACACGCTGCAATTTGATTCCAAATAATTTTAGTATGGAGACCTGCCAATCCTGCCATTGTTCTTGGTTATGTATATTCTAATCACGTTGGAATATTAAGATATCTGATCACATGTTTTTTTAGTTATGTGCCAGGCTTTAAGTTCCGATTACGTATTGGTTCAACGTATGCTAGTAGTGGAGGAGTTCTTCACAGCGTTGCACAGAACGTCCTTCACCCAAATTACAACATGCATATATCACATCATATATTCCAATGTGATACAACGAAGAACTATTGCCAGCGCTAACTATAATCTTTTTGACAACCAAGTAGTTTGGGTAACCGGCTGGGGTACACTAGTGGTAAGATTATTACATGAATATTTTAACACTTTATTAGTTAAGGTATATTTACTAAGATACTCATAGTGCTGATTGTTTTCAATATGATAGCTCTATTGTTGAGGCTATCCAAATTGCAAATAGAATAATGGAAGTTAAATTTGACATAATTTTGAATATTACATGGAGAGTTGTCGCACAGCTCTTGCCAAAAATTTTAATCGCGCTGTTAAGATTCTCAACGAGCTCATGGTATTCCTGGGTTTTGTATAGAATGTGTTGAAAAAAAGAATTACCTTATAGTGAAAATGTGAGTGATTTTCGGCAATACCTAGCGGGAACATTTTGGTCCTTCAAACCGGATTGTGGAGATTGGCTGGAAGTTATTCTGACAGGCAGGTTCATGCCTGAAGTTAAGGACGACGGATTGTCGTTGTTGTTGAGGACTTCAGAAGGCAGCTTGGGCGGGCAGACCCAAGTGACAACACAACGTGTATCACGGGCAAGACCGGCGGCAGTGGATTCATCATCATTGGACGGGCAACAAAGTGTAGTTACATGTGAACGTGCAAACCGCACAACTGTGAGTACTTTACTTTGTTATTACCAGAGTAGAGACTTAGAAAAAGGTTGCATAAAAGTGAAACTACGAGGAATCTATGGGATTTCAGTTATACTGACAAGTCATCAAACTAAAAACACTTGGAAAATTTCACATCGAATTTTTATGGACTTAGAATTTTAGCACTATGGAATTAATATCAGTGCAAGAAAACTTATAGCAACAGTTACAGAAAACAAAAAATAATTGTAAGAAATAAGTAATAAGAAAAAAAAGCTTATATTTTAGATAAATTGACTGGGTTGCTACCGCCTGTGGAAGTTGTGGTAGTGCCTTGGTCAGTATTTAATGATATCAAGTGAGCTGATCCAGACTATCATTCACCAACCAGATTGACATGTTACTAGGGTCTGATGTTTATGGTAATATATTACGCGACGGCTTCTATAAATGATGAAGCTGAAGCTAGCCGACGGAGCTAGCCGACGGACATAGCCTGCGTAGTATATGGCACGCCCCTCAAATTGAGTTTTTTTTTAATGAACAAAGAGAGCAAACAGTCATTTTCCTGCATCAAATTACTATACAATGAACCAGGGCCTTTTAAGATTAAAAAAAATATATATTTAAACAATCATATTTAATGAATAAACGCTGTTTATTAGCGAAAACTCGAGTTTTTCGATGGGAAATTTGTCCTAACTTTTTTCACAAAAATAGGATTGCTTTCAAATTTTCTATATTTAATGCCTAAGTATCATACAATAATACTAAATTACTTTCACGTTGGCAGAAAAGTTATAATTTTTATTATTAAATGAACAATCAGACATGACTTACGATTAATTGACCGAGTCGACGAAAAACCTGATGTAGCTGTGTTCACAACAATAGGATTGCTTCCTAATTTTGTATAGTTTATGCCTACGTATCGTACAATAATACTAAATAGGTTTTACGTTGGCAGAAAAAATAAAATTAACACAATTAATGTGTAAACGTACATAACCAACAAAAAATACTGAATTTCGATAAAAAACCTGCTGTAACTCGATTTACAAAAATAGGATTGCTTTCTAATTTTGTATAGTTAATCCCTAAGTATCATACAATAATACCAAATTACTTTTACGTTGGCAGAAAAGTTATAATTTTTATTATTAAATGAACAATCAGACACGACTTACGATAAATTGAACGATTCGTCGAAAAATCTGATATAACTCTGTTCACAACAATAGGATTGCTTTCAAATTTTGTATAGTTAATGTCTAAGTATCATACTATAATACCAAATTACTTTTACGTACGCAGAAAAGTTATAATTTTTATTATTAAATGAACAATCAGACACGACTTACGATAAATTGACCGATTCGACGATAAATCTGATGTAACTCTGTTCACAACAATAGGATTGCTTTCAAATTTTGTACAGTTAATGCCTAAGTATCATACAATAATACCACATTACTTTGACGTTGGCAGAAAAGTTATAATTTTTATTATTAAATAAACAATCAGACATGACTTACGATAAATTGACCGATTCGACGAAAAACCTGATGTAGCTGTGTTCACAACAATAGGATTGCTTCCTAATTTTGTATAGTTTATGCCTACGTATCGTACAATAATACTAAATAGGTTTTACGTTGGCAGAAAAAATAAAATTAACACAATTAATGTGTAAACGTACATAACCAACAAAAAATACTGAATTTCGATAAAAAACCTGCTGTAACTCGATTTACAAAAATAGGATTGCTTTCTAATTTTGTATAGTTAATCCCTAAGTATCATACAATAATACCAAATTACTTTTACGTTGGCAGAAAAGTTATAATTTTTATTATTAAATGAACAATCAGACACGACTTACGATAAATTGAACGATTCGTCGAAAAATCTGATATAACTCTGTTCACAACAATAGGATTGCTTTCAAATTTTGTATAGTTAATGTCTAAGTATCATACTATAATACCAAATTACTTTTACGTACGCAGAAAAGTTATAATTTTTATTATTAAATGAACAATCAGACACGACTTACGATAAATTGACCGATTCGACGATAAATCTGATGTAACTCTGTTCACAACAATAGGATTGCTTTCAAATTTTGTATAGTTAATGCCTAAGTATCATACAATAATACCACATTACTTTTACGTTGGCAGAAAAGTTATAATTTTTATTATTAAATAAACAATCAGACATGACTTACGATAAATTGACCGATTCGACGAAAAACCTGATGTAGCTGTGTTCACAACAATAGGATTGCTTCCTAATTTTGTATAGTTTATGCCTACGTATCGTACAATAATACTAAATAGGTTTAACGTTGGCAGAAAAAATAGATTTAACACAATTAATGAGTAAACGTACGTAACCAACAAAAAATACTGAAGTTTGATCAAAAACCTGCTGTAACTCTGTTCACAACAATAGGATTGCTTTCAAATTTTGTATAGTTAATGCCTAAGTATCATACAATAATACTAAATAGGTTTTACGTTGGCAGAAAACAAAGAATTGACACAATTAATGAGTAAACGTACGTAACTAACAAAAAATACTGAAGTTTGATCAAAAACCTGCTGTAACTCGATTCACAAAAATAGGATTGCTTCCTAATTTTGTATAGTTTATGCCTACGTATCGTACAATAATACTAAATAGGTTTTACGTTGGCAGAAAAAATAAAATTAACACAATTAATGTGTAAACGTACATAACCAACAAAAAATACTGAATTTCGATAAAAAACCTGCTGTAACTCGATTTAAAAAAATAGGATTGCTTTCTAATTTTGTATAGTTAATCCCTAAGTATCATACAATAATACGAAATTACATTTACGTTGGCAGAAAAGTTATAATATTTATTATTGGATGAACAATCAGACACGACTTACGATAAATTGACCGATTCGACGATAAATCTGATGTAACTCTGTTCACAACAATAGGATTGCTTTCAAATTTTGTATAGTTAATGCCTAAGTATCATACAATAATACTAAATAGGTTTTACGTTGGCAGAAAACAAAGAATTGACACAATTAATGAGTAAACGTACGTAACCAACAAAAAATACTGAAGTTTGATCAAAAACCTGCTGTAACTCGATTCACAAAAATAGGATTGCTTTCAAATTTTGTATAGTTAATGCCTAAGTATCATACAATAATACCAAATTACTTTTACGTTGGCAGAAAAGTTATAATTTTTATTATTAAATGAACAATCAGACACGACTTACGATAAATTGACCGATTCGACGAAAAATCTGATATAACTCTGTTCACAAAAATAGGATTGCTTTCAAATTTTGTATAGTTAATCCCTAAGTATCATACAATAATACCAAATTACTTTTACGTTGGCAGAAAAGTTATAATTTTTATTATTAAATGAACAATCAGACATGACTTACGATAAATTGACCGATTCGACGAAAAACCTGATGTAGCTCTGTTCACAACAATAGGATTGCTTCCTAATTTTGTATAGTTTATGCCTACGTATCGTACAATAATACTAAATAGGTTTAACGTTGGCAGAAAAAATAGATTTAACACAATTAATGAGTAAACGTACGTAACCAACAAAAAATACTGAATTTCGATCAAAAACTTGCTGTAACTCGATTCACAAAAATAGGATTGCTTTCAAATTTTGTATAGTTAATGCCTAAGTATCATACAGTAATACCAAATTACTTTTACGTTGGCAGAAAAGTTATAATTTTTATTATTAAATGAACAATCAGACACGACTTACGATAAATAGAACGATTCGACGAAAAATCTGATATAACTCTGTTCACAACAATAGGATTGCTTTCAAATTTTGTATAGTTAATGCCTAAGTATCATACAATAATACCACATTACTTTTACGTTGGCAGAAAAGTTATAATTTTTATTATTAAATGAACAATCAGACATGACTTACGATAAATTGACCGATTCGACGATAAATCTGATGTAACTCTGTTCACAACAATAGGATTGCTTCCTAATTTTGTATAGTTTATGCCTACGTATCGTACAATAATACTAAATAGGTTTAACGTTGGCAGAAAAAATGGATTTAACACAATTAATGAGTAAACGTACGTAACCAACAAAAAATACTGAATTTCGATAAAAAAACCTGCTGTAACTTGATTCACAAAAATAGGATTGCTTTCTAATTTTGTATAGTTAATCCCTAAGTATCATACAATAATACGAAATTACATTTACGTTGGCAGAAAAGTTATAATATTTATTATTGGATGAACAATCAGACACGACTTACGATAAATTGAACGATTCGACGAAAAATCTGATATAACTCTGTTCACAAAAATAGGATTGCTTTCAAATTTTGTATAGTTAATGCCTAAGTATCATACAATAATACCAAATTACTTTTACGTTGGCAGAAAAGTTATAAGTTTTAGTATTAAATGAATTTGAGGGGCGTGCCATATACTACGCAGGCTATGTCCGTCGGCTAGCTCCGTCGGCTAGCTTCAGCTTCATCTATAAATGTCCATCTGCTAGCTCAGGAAACCATCTTTGGGTTGATTTTATCTGGAAGGAATAATAATCACAATCATTAAGTTAATGTTATCATTATGCATGTTCCAGCGGATAATATGTTAAAAGCATTTTGGGAAATGGAAAGCGATCCACAGATAGAAGCAAAAATCGTGTCGGAGGAAGAAGAACGTCTACCACGCGGCGTGATGAAACTGGGCGTTATATTGTTAGATTACATTTTAGGAATAAGCCACCTTGTTTAAGTCAGTCACGGGAAATAGCGCTGAAAAGATCTCTGTCGCTGGAACGCAAATTGATAACCAATTAACAATTAAGTAATGAATTTAAAATAACGTTCAACGAATATTAAGCTCTGAATTATATGCGTCTAGTTACTAGCAAAGTCAATAAGGTAAATAAATCCAACTGATCCCAGAACGGAACCACCCTACAACGCTGGGGACCAACGGCATGCCGGGGGCTGCTCAACTCCGCAGAAGACTTCGTGTTCACCTTTATAGCATCAGGCATTTACTTACCATACCATGCAGTGATCAGAGAGGATAGGTCGACTCAACTAGCAAGGTGCGTGTGGTCTTCGATGCCTCCTGCAAGGATAAAACTGGTGTGTCCTCAAATGATAACTTGATGGTCGGACCAACGTTGCAATCCGAACTTCGTCATATTATCATGCGTTGGGGGAAATATAAAATCTGTCTGTCGTCTGACACCATCAAGATGTATGAAATTAAAGTAAATGAAGACGACGCAGACTATCAACGCATTTTGTGGCGGGAATCATTTGAGAATAGAATTACAGAATAAAAATTACAAAGAGTTACATTTGGCACGTCTTCAGCTCCATTCTTAGCAGTGAGAACATTAATGCAGTTAGCTATCGATGAAGGAAGCAATTACGCACACGTAGCTGAAAGAGTTAAAAGAGATTTCTACATGGATGTTTTTATGTCGGGGTGTGACACAGTAAATGAGGCTATTGAAATATATATCCAAGTAAAGGAATTATTGAGTAAATATGGTTTTATTTTACAAAAGTGGATAACTAACAGTGATATTTTCATGAAAGCAAAGGGAATAAAAGTTTTCCACTTTCCAAGAAGAAGGTAAGAGATTAGAGGAAAGGGCAGAAAGTAAAAAAGTACTTGAACTTATCTGGAGCCGAAGAGAAGATCGATTTGAATACACTGTTGCATTACCTGTGATTTCAGCACCTGCAACAAAGAGAAAGATTATCTCTTATATATCTCGTTTATATGATCCACTGGGATTTTTAGCACCGAGTATAATATGTGCAAAAATCTTTATTAAAAAAATATGGTTATCTGGATTAGATTGGCACGAAGAATTGCCACCAAAGCTAGTTGAAGAATGGATTACTCATCGCGAAGACTTGAATATACTAAATAACTTCCAAATCAACAGATGGATGAAATGTTCTAGTAGGTCAATCACGAAGGAGAGATTTACGTGAGTTTAGTATCAGCCAAAACAAGAGTGGCTCCAATCAAGCAAGTGTCTATACTAAGATTGGAACTACGAGTATATGGAACAGTTCTCTTCTTGAAACTTCTTGTTGAAGTTGGCATCTTTTTGGGAGTTCCTAAGACCCATTGGCATGCGTGGACAGATTCAGAGGTGGTGTTAGCGTGGTTGAGTAGTTACCCTTCTAAATGGAAGACGTTTATCGGGAATAGAGTGGCAACAATGAATTCTCGGAAGTCAATGGTCATATGTAAAGTCTGAATGTAATCCAGCTGATGTCGCCTGGCGTGTCATTAAACCAGTAGATATTTGTACTTATCATTTATGGTTCAACGGACCTAAAGGTCTAAATAATGAGGAAATTATATAAGTGGAAATATTCGAAAACTCACTCTTCGAAGTACCTAGCAGAAACACTATCGTTTTAATAGAATTTACGATATCTGCCACCCAAAAAGTATAAGACAGAATTTTCTACGCATTTATTGCACAGTAGAACCAGTCATAATATTTTATACCAGTATTTCTTTCATTTTTTAGTATGGTGGTGAAAGTGGATCTGAAGAGCTGCGTGAGGTGCAAGTTTATACCGTCAACCAAAATGTTTCTTCACAACGCTATTTTGACCTCAACGGAAGAGAAATAATCACCGCTAACATGCTGTGCACCGGTGTGCTCGATGTCGGTGGACGTGACGCGTGTCAGGGCGACTCCGGCGGCCCTGTGTTCCACAACCGCGTTGTTGTTGGTATTACCTCTTTTGGTGAAGACTGTGGTCATCGAATCTTCCCCGGTGTGAACGCACGTGTATCTCGATTTACTTCATGGATTGTGGATCACGCTTAAACAAAATTGAAGATTCCCGCAACAATGATTAATATGGTCGTGATTGTATAAAATAAAAAATTAAATATTTCTAATTGTCGTGAACCTAAACTCATTATTTAATATTTGCCTAATATCATTAACATTTTAAATTTACAATCACATTATTCTATATTGTGCAGACACACAAGAAAATAGAAATCTTTTGGAGGAGGCCTTCACCTGAGAGACGTCCATGCAAGCAATTAAAAATACAAATATAATACAAACAATATAATACAAATAATAATAACAAGAATTACCTATGTATTGTTTACCTATTATTATTCTTTTCATTTCATTGATAATTATTTAAATTTTCTATTATTACCGAATTGAATTTTATTGTACTCTTAATTCAAGTTATGAAACGATTGCCATAACAAAATATTATTGTTTATATTTAATATGAAGTTAAATGGAATAAAAAATATATACTTAATTATAATAATATTTAACAATCAAGCATGTCATGTAAAAATTAATACTTCATAGATGCGTCGAATAAAAGGCTTTTTAATTTAATTTAATTTATTTTTGTATTGTGAAGACTTTTAATTTTCACAATAACCTAAATACTGCCGATAAAACTGTTGATTATTTACACAACAGATATCGTACATATTTTGTCAATTATATAATATTGTACCACATTCACACAACGCCATCTAGTCCCAAACTAAGCAGAGCTTGTACTGTATGTACTAGACAACTGATATAAATACATATATACGTTTTTTTTTGTAAATACATACTTATTATACATAGAAACACCCAGACCAAATCAAACATTAAATGTTCACGCACACAAATGTTTGACTTGAGCGGGAATCGAACCCGCGACCTTTGGAATAGCAGTCCGTTACACAAACCACTACGCCATTCGGTCGTCAAAGATAAAGATGTAAGATGTAACGAATGTGTTTTTCTGGTACGATTATCGGGGAAGAATTTTTCACTTAAAAATAAACCTAGCATTTGATTTAAAACAATATCTATAACAATATCATTAAATATAGATTTTAAGTTTTGTTTTATTAAGTTTAATTAAGTTAAGTTTTTAAACTTTTATTCAATATATTTTAATGTCGAATGCTTTCTAATATGCGATTCTTGCATAACACGGTCCATTATTGGTTTTTCTAGATATTTTGAGTTGAAGAACGAGCCTCGTGGTAATAACTAGTATAATAAATAAAAATAAAAAAGACAACTATAGTCGACAAAGACATAACACACGAACGAAGCGACCATCAGCGAGACTTAGGCGTTGAAGCATGCATAGTACCACTGAACCGTAAGCGTTCGTCTCAGTGGGTGGACTCATGTACAGCACCTAATCAGTGCTATAAAAAAAGATTATTCATAGGAAGATGATGCTGACTGTATGGTGGACTAGTGCCGGACTTGTACATCATAGCTGTCTATTCCCAAGAATTGCAAAAACAATTATGGAGAAGCTCGCAATTCAACAACCACGACTGGTCACTACGTGGACGCTCTTCACGACAACGCGCGAGCTCACAGTTCACGTCTGACCATCGCAAACTTACAAGCGTTACAGCTGGAACCCACCGTACTCACCGCACTTTGCCCAACATGTTTCTACTTTTTCAAAATTTAGATATTTCTTTAAATTGGAAAAAAATCAACACCTCAGAGACAGTACAAAACGCTTCTGCGGACTTCAATCCCGTCCAGCAGACTTCTACAGTAAAGGTATAAAGAAACTGCCATCAAAATGGTGAAATTGGATAAATAATTTGTGCCAGTAGTTTGATTGGCTGAAATAAAAAAATAACCAAAATTTTTACATTTTAAAATGTTCATACAATTCTCCAACTTCATAGGTAAAGACCATTCACAAATAAATAAATAAATTAAATAAATAATTTTATCATTATTAATATTAAAAAACAGTGATATTTTCTTTCGTAAATGAACTCAGCCTTTTCTTGTTCTTCTAAATATTCTTTATAGCATCGTCATATTTGAAAGCCATGCTCTCATTTTTGGTCACAAATATTTTCAGCGTTTCAGCATTTGTGAGTCCTGAGTTACTGAGCGGAGGTAGTCACTGTTCATTAGATGACTTGTTTACGCGTTTGCCGCATATTTCATAGAAGCAGTATAAGAGAATTAGTTTAAACAATAAAACTTATGACTAAATACTAATCCACGTACACAATGTCCGAAACTGTCTGTGTTCAATAATAGATATAAAATAAGATAAGGATTTACATTTATATTGTATATGTAAATTTAGTCTTATCTTATTAATTTAGGTGATTTTGTAGGATTTGTTTTGGTATAAATACACATGTGGTCTAAACACTAACACTCTAGTTGCGAATAAAAAGGTAACAACATGCGTCTCATCACCCTATTCGCTGTTTGCGTTGCGGCTGTGACCGGTAAGTTGGTCAAATTAGCGTATTATTAAAACTACATGAATAAACTTTTTGCATAACATTTTTGACTTAGATTTCTTTTCATTTAACTAAGAAAATAACTGTAAAAGTTGGGTCAGATATCAGAAGGGGATGACCGGGAAGTGACACTAGCAAGGCGTATAGTTTAGACTGATAGTGCTAGACTAGCGAACTTTTTTTCTTTTTTTTTTCTTGAAGGGGTGGAAAATCCCTTCAGATCTCCGGCTCCTTGGGAATGTAGGAGCCAGAAGTATGTGGTGTTTCCACTAAAAACCACCTAGACGTCCGGGCTCAGGCACTCTACTCCGAGGAGGACCCGGACCATATTATTTCAGGTCCCCCAGAATCGACGCCGCGCCCAGGAAAGCCCTATCCCGGGGAAGCTCCGGGCTTCCACTGCCTATCGGCCCAAGCGTTGTAATACGTTGCAGCTCCATCGCATTTTTGCGACCAGGCCCCATCTTATCGCCTACCGCAGCAGTTAATCTGCCACCAGAGGTCCCTTTCCTCAAGCAGCCTGCGGCCGCTAGACTAGTAACTTAGCTGTTAAATTACTGCTGCTTACGCTACGTACTTACGGCAATAGCCCCTATCTGTCGCGATCTAAAAAAGGCCAAGATTTACAGTCACACATTAGATTAGGTCACACTATACTACTATGGTATAGGTCATAAATAAATAAAACTAACATTGTGTTTATCAATTATATAAAAACGGTATAAGACTTAACGATATCATTTGTTGAATAGATATCAAATTAAATTCATCAAGCAATGTTAACTTAAACCGCCCGATCTATATATTATTTCGTGTTGCGTATATATTTTTTAGAACCATACCTACTGTCAAGAATAAAACAGAGGTTTTTATTGAATTTTAATAACCATTTATTGTCTTTTTTCTTTCTTACAACTTTTAGCTACCCCACGAGTCTTCAAACCATCTGCGAGGATCGTAGGCGGCAGAGTTACGACTATTGAGCGATGGCCTTACCAAGCTAATGTTATGATTGGAGAAGGCCATTATTTTGGCCAGTGGTGTGGTGGTACTATCATTAACAACAGATCTGTGTTAACCGCTGCACATTGTGTTCTTTTGCCTTACGAGTAAGAAAAAAAAATTTTCACTTCACAAAATTTTGTGTTTTTTTCAAACTTGTTGGAATATTCAGATTAAGACCACATATTTTTTTTAGATATTTGCAGGCCTTTATGTTTCGTTTACGTCTTGGTTCAACGTATGCTAGTAGCGGAGGAGTTATCCACAACGTTGTCCAGAACATCCTTCACCCAAATTACAACATGCATACCCTGGATAGTGATGTTATGATTATGCGCAGCAGTACCACATTCATATATTCCAATGTGATACAACGAGGAACTATTGCCAGCGCTAACTACAATCTCCTTGACAACCAAGTAGTTTGGGTCACCGGCTGGGGTACACTAGTGGTAAGACTACATCAATATTAGTTAATACTTAAGGTATAATTACTTGGGTACTCATAGTGCTAATTGTTTTTAATATAATAGCTCCATAGTTTTTAAAGAATTTACCATATCTTTAGCCCAAAAAGTATGAGACAGAATTTGCTACTCAGTGATTGCCCCGTAGTCAAATTGTCAGAATATTTTAAAATAGTATTTGTTTAATTTTTAGTATGGAGGTGATAGTGGCTCTGAAGAGCTGCGTGAGGTGCAAGTTTACACCATCAACCAGAACGTTTGTTCACAACGCTATGAAGGTGGAATCACCGCTAACATGCTGTGCACCGGTATACTCGATGTCGGTGGTCGTGACGCGTGTCAGGGTGACTCCGGCGGTCCGGTGTTCCACAATCGCGTTGTTGTTGGTATTACCTCTTTTGGTGCATACTGTGGTCATCCAAACTACCCCGGTGTGAACGCACGTGTATCTCGCTTTACTTCATGGATTGTAGCAAACGCTTAAACCCAATTGAAAATTCCCGAAACAATGTCTAATATGGTAATGATTGTTTAAAATAACACTCGTACATAAAATATTTGTAATTGTCATGTTCCTAAACTTATCTTATTATTTGATACTTCCCTAATATTATTCCCTAACATTTTTAAGATTCGAAAACATTGTTCTACATTATGAAGGCGTTTAATGTTTACAGTGTTCTAAATACTTCCGATAATACTGTCGATTAAAATTCACGCGACGAATACTGCCTTTTGTCAATTAAGTCGTAAAGATGTAATAAATGTTTATACAGGTAGTGTGTTTTGCATATATCTGGTTACGATTTTGCTGGCACAAGTCTCGGGGAAAAACTTATCATTTAAAAAAAAAGTTCGTTTCTACTTATCATATGTTAATAATGTCATCTAAGTCATAATATGTTATTAAAAAGCAAAAAAATTTAGAAGTGTTATACTATCATCATTGCCGGCTTTTTCGTCTGCTACAATGGAGCATAAACGTGAAAATTTGCGTGATATGAATATTACGACTGTAAATGTAGTTTATCTGAAAGTTTAAGCTTAGAACGTTGTAAATCAGCTTAAGGTGAGTATGCTTTTTCTCGGGAAACAATTTTTAGATGGTTTAACAAATTTAAAAGAAGGAAAACTAGCCTTGAAGATGAAAATAGAAGTAAATACCCCGCCAACAGCAGTCACTACTGAAAATGTGTAGACTACTAAAATGCTTGTGCGAGATAACCCACGAATTATATATCTATAGGGACATAGAGAAGGGAATGTTCACATGAACATATTAGAATTAGGAAGCTTTGTTGTCGTTTGATACCTCGTTTGCTCTCCGAAAAGGAAAAGATGCCTTTGTAAATGGTGCCATGGGATGCGTCTACGTTTTGAAAATGGGAGGTCAAGATGTATTTTTTAAATCATTACTGGTGACGAAATATGGATCTATCAATATGATAAGAAAAGCAAGAAGCGTTCCTCAGTATGGATATTTCCAGATGGCTCAACATTGGCAAAAAATGGTGGTCAGTTTTGATAATATAAATTGTAAGTAAATATTATTAACTTTATGCGTGTCTCAAAAGATATATAGTAACCTAGCGCTTCGTCGCTGTTGGGGTCGCAGTTCTAACTTAACTTACTTTTCTGGCAGTTCACACAACAAACAATTTTTTGAATATAATATTTGCCAAAATAAAACGTTTGATTTATTAACATTTGCCTGAATAAAACTTGACAAAGTAAAATGACGCCAAATAAATGATAATTTGCGAAATGTAAATTTTCTTAAGATTCATTTGAGAAATGAATTAATGAAATTAGACAAAAAAAAATATTTTGCACAAAGGGCTGTACACCATATTAAGTGTTTAAGCGCCTATACAATTAGTGTGCGCAGTAGTATAATGTCCATTTATATGCTATTCTTTATCATAAATAATATCTGCAACTAAAGACATTACTTTTTCCAAAACGCTTATACCAATTACCTCTTTTCTTTCATTTTTCATCTATCTTCGTTCATCATTTCATCTATCTTCGTTTTCTTTTATAAAAGAAATGAAAGCTACGTCTCTACTAACCTTAACCTCATCATGGTAGTAATATCCACACAACTATTGCTGATAACCATCAAATTCACTAAACAACTTAATAAAATCAGTGTAGTTGATAATTTAAAAAATATATGTATACTGACTTGGGGCAACCCTTCATTAAACATAAATAATAACGGTGACGATTTCAATAAATGCGATAAAAGTTAACACCGCTAATATACTCTGTCCAAAAACCCAACCACATCGGCTACAAAAACTAAATATTTTCTAAAACTTTTTTATCACTTGTATACTGCACCTAGTGAAGTTACTTAGGGTTCTGTTTGGCCTGCTTCTGTGTACGTGTATTATAGATATCTATACCGGGTACACTACAGAAAAACGAAAAACTTTATTCCGTCAGTCACAAATACGAATTTCAAAATACCGATTTTCATAATTCCGAATGGTTCAAAATTCCGAATATAACAACTCCGAATAATCATACATTCATCAAAAATTTCAATATTTCTAATATTTAAAATGAGTATGCTTATGTTTCAATAGATCGAATAACAAAAAGTCCGACTTAATGATAATTCGAAACATCTAAAATTTACAAGTCACCGCAACAATAGAGCGGATCTGACACTGGCACGGGACGCTCGCCTTTGCGCTTCAATTAACCTAACCCAAAGAATTCAATAACAGTAGATGGTATGCGACACAGGTATAAGGAGAAGAAGAAAACATAAAAAAATTATTAAGGCACAAATATTAATAACAAAGTGGACGTCTGCTGATTTTTTATCAGTAGACGTCCACTTTGTTATTTGTACTTAAATATTTCAAAATACATACATATCATAGATAAATTACACCCAGACACAGAGACAGACAGAGAGCATTTAAATAAATAGAAAAAAGCTGACTTTTAGTTTGATTTCCAATAGTTAGAATATATAAAATTTTCCTTCCAACTCAAAGAGAACATGCTCTGACCAGGCGAGGTGATGGTCACCACCTAGCAGACGCGGCCCAACGAGTGATATTGGGAATTTGTATATGAACTAATCATCGCGAAAACTTTTATTGTGCAATGCAGGATTAGTAGTTACTCCGTAGTTCGGTGTATCCTCACAAGATGTCACTAAAGTGTTAACTGTGGAAGTCGTTATAGCGCCACTTCCAGTTTAAATAGATGCGCTTGAGACGCGTCACGCAATAATTCATACTGGCTTGGTAACCTTACCCTAATCTACTCTACCCTAGTAGTTAACATGACAATTTTGCAACTTTAGGATGTATTCCAAATTATTGTAAATAGGACTAGTATAGGCTGTTGATGTGATGATGATTGTAAATAGTTTAGTAAATAACTTTTTCCGAGTTTTACTTCGATAGCTTTAAGTTATGTTACTTCTTTATAAATGTTCTTTATCTTATGAACGGTTTTTATGTTTTGTAAATTGGATATGAAAATTTGCGTAGTCTAGTACGAGTCTAATTTAAAAAATAAAAAGACGTCTAGAAACTCGTGCAGTAGTACGAAAATAAAAGTAGTTAGCGCTGCTTTTTGATCACTAAATAAAACAGTTAAAACTGTAAATATGTAGTAAAAATGTTTTGCCGAACTTTGACAGACAGTAAAATTATCAAAGTTAATGTTCTTGTTTTACATTAAGATTTGTAATTATTGAATTATCGAATATACTCGTAATGCACTATTCAAAAAAGGAAATAAGTAGCAGATCGAATGATCACTGATAAGGTTGGGTTTACCAAATTCGATCCTATCTATGTAAACTCGTATTTAAATTACTATAAGTTTATTAATTATTAAATAATGATAATATCTGATTGATAAAATTTTGTCTTTGTTATCTACCTACCTACTACCTTGTTGCCCTAATGATGTTAAACGTGGTTTACCTTGCATTCAAGAGAAAAGTGCGCGCTCTTCTTCGGAGTGAATTGGCAGAACAGTCACAACGCTAGTACCCGACTGAGTATTTTATTACATTTATGAAGGTTTATGTATGTATGTTTACTTATGTATGTGTGCTTATATATTGTGTACGTCTCTGGACTTCAATTATGTTAAATTTAATTTTTTATTTTGCACCTAGCGCATCATATTTCTACATCACCTGAAGGTTGACTGGGAGTGAATGCCTAATGGCCTTAAGTCCGCCTTTATACACCCTTTATACACACAAATAAATGATTATTACTAGATGTTTTTTGAATTTACACAAACTTTTGAGCGTTAAGTAACGAGGTATCGAAGTTTTTATTAGAGTGACTCGAGTTACGCATGCCTTCAAGCTTTTAACTCGAGTTATAATTTTTTGTACGTAGGGCGGCCTACGTATAAATAATTCTAACTCGAGTTAAAATCTACGTCTAAAAAATACGTATCGAAAATCTATTATATGCCTGTGCCGATCCACATCGCTTACAATGTAGTAATATGTATATATAGCCACAATATACAAGTAAAGATGAATCAATGTACCAACAGTACAGATTCATTGCATTTGTGGCGGAGATGTGGCAATACCCGACTCCGCCAGCATAGAAACAAGAAACCCCGTGATTTTCGGGGGACGCCATTATGATTCTCGAGGCGCCAGAGCACCTAGCTCACGCATGTAATTATTTATTAACATGTACTATTAGTTTAGTGTGTATCTCAATTAAAGTGACCAAGACGAACAGTTTTTTATTGGGGGCGTTTTTATCCCCTAACATTCATACAGAAAGGAATAATAATTTTTATTCCCGTGGGAGAGTCATGCTTCGGCAGATATGGACCGGCTCGTACGGAGTGATACCACGGCCTCACAGAAAAGTGGTGTAAGCATTTCTTTCGTGGCTTTTCACCGATTGAGGTTATTTTATTTTATTTTATTTTACATCTTCATGCACTTATGTACATCGGCCGACTTAGTGCCCTGGGCATTCTCTACCAGCCAACCTTTAGGTGGTGTAGAAATCTTGTTACCGTGTGGTTACCGCTAGAGACTCAAATCGTGGCTACCTACTTGCGACTCTTGTGTGGTAGGTGTGCATGGGCAAGTACCATCCCGTACCGTCCATTGGATTGCTGTTTGATTTATCTTTGGCTTTAGTTGTGAATTTTTGAGATTTTTAATCAAGTCATCCAAAGTATTATGACAGCGGATATTGTGATAAGCGTCGGGTTTTCCACAGCCCAGCAAGATAGATAACTGTTTATTAAAGAAAAACATAAATAATACAGGATATGATTTATCTAAATGTAACAGTATATTACACAATGCGCATAACACAGCACGACTTACGATTCTTAAATAAATAATGTTTCATTTTAAAGTCCTTAATAAAGAGAACCAGGTGTTAAAAAGCGGCCTGTCATCACATCTCAGTAAGGAAAGTAGGCCTAATAAAACACTTACCTACCTAGGTTTATAACACTTTTTTTTAAATAAATGAGGCTCTGTAATCTGTTTTTATAAAAGAAGAAACTGACATACTGATACACTGAATGATCGATCTATACACAGCTAAAGCAGCTGGGTCTAGAAGCATGCAATTTAGCACAAATATTCCTTAAGTGACGTAGGCTAAAGATGCAAAATGGGCGTTGGAAATTTATATAAAACATTTATAGAAAAAAGAAAATGGGGGTTATCAATTTAA